TGGGGTCGCACCGACGTGCGCACCTTACACCGTTCTCCTACTATTCTTCCTCCCCTGTCGTCGCCGTTAACCTCCTTCAAATTCCAGCCATCATCTTTCTATCTCTTACCAATTATTCTCCTAATCTCCAGCCTTCTTATCCTACCAAAAATCTCGTAATACTTATAGTCACTCTACTAATGCCTTTACGTCTATTTCTACTCCCCCTCCTTCTCCTTATCCTCCTCTTCCTCTTCCTCCTATTACTCCTCCTACTACTTCTCATTCTCCTAAACTTCTTCGTCCCATTTGCCTCCTTCTACACCTTTTTTGTTATGTTTATACTGCTTGAAATAGTTCATTGTTTAGATCTACCCATTCTCATCCACCTCTTGCTCCCAATCCATTTCGCCTCCTCTTCCTACCGTTCATCCTCCATATTATACGTCCTATTCTCCTTCTACTTTAGGAAGCTCAAGGGCGCAAGCCTTCTTCCGTTAATAAAGTGACTTGAAGTGACTTACTTTCCTCATTTTCCTCTGTTTCCGTCTCCCTCTTCTCCATATCCTCCTTTTTTTATCTCCGCGTATTCCCCATTGTAATGACTCATCCACTTCCCGCTCCTCTTCATCCTTCTATTCTTGCGCCTTCTCTTTCTAGCTGGCTTCTTTCATTTCCTGCTACTTAATGTCCTCGCACAGGCCTTCCTTCCTCATTCTTGTTTTTTTTCCTGTTCCTCAGTCTCTTACTATCCCTCATAGTCAGGATCTTAATCCTTCAACTAGGCTTTTTTGGTCGCACTCCTGATCCCAACCCCCACCCTAAATCTTCTCCTACCATTCTTATCCATTTCCTACTTTGTCTTCTTAACCTTCGCCTTATTCTCCGCATAAGATCTCTCATTTACACCCTGAATGACTCAAATTTAACCACAACGAACGCTGCCACAGCCATCTCCTCCTCATCCGCGCTTACGTGTAGAACACCTCAGAAACCTACGAGTGTGCCTATACCTAAACTACAGGCCCCCATAATTGACCATGCAGCCACAGTGGAGGCTAATTCGAACAC